ACGAGAGCGCCCGTGGGGGTCGCGCTAAGGACGAACAGAAGTGCCCACGGGTGCCGCGCTAAGGACGAACGGGAGCGCCCACAAGGGGGCCGCACTAAGTACGAACGGAAGCGCCCGCGGGGGCCGCGCTAAGGACGAACAGGAGCGCCCGCGGGGGGGTCGCGCTAAGGGACAAACTAAGGCCCGTGGGGGCCGCGCTACGGGACGGGCAAAGGCCCGCGGGGGGCGCGGGACCTGCCGAGGGCGCTACAGGCAACGGACGGCGAACGGACGGCGGACGGGAGGCTAACAGACGGCTACCGAGCGGCTAGCGTGTGAAACCCTAAAACGAGCGAACCAACGGGCGGCTATCGAGCAACGAACGGGGCGTGCGGAGGTGGGCCCATGGGAACGAACTAAGCTCTATACCATGTCAAAGATAGAACTGGAAGAATGAATGATTAGAATGAGCAAGTACAAGTGTAGATATAGCAAACCTAACCCTAGCACTAACCAAGGTGCACACCACCTAGACTAAACAATACAAACTATAAGATATATAGTTTGACAGAGCCACGCTGCAAATTTTAGCACTCGCCGTTCAGCATTACGCGGCATGCTGGCTGACGCCTGGTGACGTAAGCTTGGCGCAGCTAGCGAGGCTGGTGCTATAGCGTGAGCTGGCTAGTGGCAGGCACGGGCGGCTAGCGGCTGGCTCGGCGGGCTGGTGCGAGCTGGCTGGCAATCGCTTGCAAGCGGCTGGCGAAAATGACTAACATGACGGCGCGCAGGCTGGTGCGGATAGGCGTGCAGCCTACGTAGGCGGGGTGTTGGATAGCGCGGCGACATGCTGGCTGGCGCGACATTCTGTTGGCTGGCGCGGCGTGCTACCGTGTTTGGCTGGCTCGGGTGACGTCAGATGTAGCGCTGGTCGGTGCGGCTGGCTGGCGCAAGAGGCTTGCGTGAGTGGCTAGCACGTTGATGGTACGCAGACTAAGGCATGTGTGTGAGAATCCCAACCACTAAGTAGCTGGTCATTGGGATAAAATGACTTGTTAAGTAGCGGGTCAGTGCGCCAATAACCCCCCAAACGAACGCGCCTGTAACCCTTCCTACGATCAATCGGGGATCCCAAGTGTAGGTCTTCTGACACCCTCCCACACAGGGAGGCCCGAGATACGGCACAGCGGATTCGGTAGCATGTGCGTATACGAAGATTCGAACCCAAGGCCTTTGCTCCACTACCTCCAGTGCTGGCCCCACCACCACTCCCACTGCCCCCTCCACCACCCCTGCCACCCTTGCCCTTGCTGCTGCGGCACTTCGCACTAGCAGAAGCAGCCCCGACATCCTCAGCACCAAGGACGTCAACAGCAGCAGCAGAGGCGTAGGAGGGGGCAAGGGGGGAGGGAGAGCACCCCTCAAAGAAGGGCGTGCGCGGAGTGCCACGAGCAGCACCTACAGCGACTACACTAGTCTCAGTTGCAAGGAGGTGCTGCTCGAGTAGGTCAACAGTGAGGACTGTGGGGTCAAGGGAGACAAAGTGGTCCCTGACAGAGCAAAGAGAGTCAGGGAGGCGGGTGACTATAAAGTAGAGAGTGATGGACATCGGGGGCTAGTTCCTGTCAAGGAACTCAGCAGGGGTGGCAGCTCGGTAGCGAGCGTTGCTAGCACGAAGGTGGGAAACCAGGTCCTCGACTGTGGCAAAAGCGGACAGCTCGGGGAACAGGTAAGGCAGTAGTAGGCAGCCGAGAGCAGCAGTGGCAAGCAAGGAGTAGCGAGTGACGACAGCGTCGTACAGTGCCTGTGCTGTCCTGTGCTGTCCGAAGTGAGCGCATTCGGCTAACGGCATATGGTTGCGAATGGCTAAGCAGGCAGCAGCGTCGCGAGTAATCCACTGTGAACAAGTCGCACTGTCAGCTGTGGCAGGAGGAGCGGGAGCGGCGCCAGACGTGTGGTCAAACAACGAAACACTGTCCCTAGAGCCGCTCATGAGGTACAGCAGCAGGTCGTCGAGCCACGTGTCAGACTGAATCGGTCCGCCCTCATGATCGAATGTGAGAACGCGAAGCGAAGCCATAGCGGTGCAGAAAGCAGAGCAGAGGGCAGGCAGTAGCAAGAGGCTATGGGAGGGCCGCAAGGGGCGACTAGCAGAGCAGCAGGGGTGGCTAGAGGGCCACCAGGGGCGGCGCGCGAGGCTAAAAGGGCATCTCGCGAGCTGCAGGGTCGAGGGGCGGGCCGGAAGGGGCGGCTCGCGGGGCCAGAGGTCGGCGGTCGGGCCGGGGCCTAGGAGCGACGGGCCTAGGGGCGATGGGCCGGGGCCTAGGGGAGTCGGGCTGGGGCCTATGGGAGTCGGGCCTAGGGGCGACGGGCTGGGGCCTAGGGGAGTCGGGCGACGGGCCACGGCTAGGGGGGGACGACGTGCGACTGGCCGGGGCGCGTGGGCTAGGGGCGACGGGCCGGGCTAGGGGCGACGGGCCGGGCCGGGGGGACGGGCCTAGGGGTGCGGGCCTAGGGGCGACAGGCGCGGGCCTAGGGCGACTGGCGATGGGCCGGGGCATAGGGAAGTCGGGCGATGGGCCGGGGCTAGGGGCGACGGGCGCGGGCCTAGGGGCGTCGGGCGACGGGCCGGGGCGTAGGGGTGTCAGTCGGGGGCGTAGGGGCGTCGGGCGACGGGCCAGCCGCGTGGGCTAGGGGCGACGGGCCGGGCTAGGAGCGACGGGCCTACGGGCCGGGCTAGGGGCGACGGGCTGGCCTAGGGGCGACGGGCTGGGGCGACAGGCCTAGGGCGACGGGCCTAGGGGCGACGGTCCTAGGGCGACGGGCCGGGTGTCGACGGGCCGGGGCGACGGGCCAAGGCGACGGGCCTAGTGGCGACGGGCCTACGGGCGACGGGCTACTGGCCGGTGCCTAGGGGTCGAAGGGTCGCGACAGGCAGTAGGGGCAGCATGAGGGCTGCAGAGGGCGGCTAGTGGGGTAGCGCTGTGGTGGGCCCAAGGAAAAAAAAAAATGGTTCTAGGGAAGGACCTGCCCTGAAACCATGTCAAAAGAATGAACGAGAATGAATGAACTATGAAAGGGATGGGTACAAGTACTAACCCTAATTGGGTTGTACCCTTTATGGGCTACCCCACTATAGCCTATACAAAGCAATCAATATAAGATTCTGACACAATCCTTTTTGGCCAATTCCTTCTCTCCTAACCATCTCCATGCTCGTAGGCTAGGGTTTCTCCGAGCCTAGGTAGCTCCGACAGATAGATGGATTTTATGGTCTTTTGTAAGTACTTATTCGATTATGTATACAGCGATTGTTAGAATCCCAACCATGCTCAAGAGAGAGGAGTAGGGTATCGAGAGCACCTCTGACAGCGATAATGTTGTTCGCCTTTTGCAATGTCCTCATTCTAAGAGGTACTTCGATGCCACGGTAGTGTCATGTGAATAGTTATAACATTATTCACGCTCTGAACAGTTACATTGAGAATACATATTTTTATATTGTACCACTTCGATATGATAAAAGTTGTATAAGACTAACCGACTGTACAAATGCAACAAATATTATTTTACATCAATAAGGCTGGTGCGTTAATCATGTAATACGACATTGTAAGATCTAAACCGCACAGTGGGTATGCAAAATGTGCGCAGCTTGTTTCTCACACCCTTTGAGTAAATCGTGATAACAATCCCAGGTTTTTTTTTTTTTTTTTTTTTTTTTTTTTTTTTTTGCGAGCGTCTTTTCACTTGTCGTAGGTGTGTGTCAGCGGGGGTCTCCTTTTCAAGCTTAGATGGATCATAGGAGAGATTAAGCAAGCACATTGAAACGCCATTCAGAATAGTTGGGACCAACTTCCTGATTGTAACGAAGTAATGTGCATCGAGAATTCTGCCTGGGACAGTCTGGGTAATTGCACATGGACACCGTGGACATGTTTGTTCCAGATCCACGCACCATCTCCAGCTATATTTGCCATACCCGGTAGTGCTGGAGGTCGTTCTATTGGTACACAGTTTCGATAGTTGTTGATTTCCTGCCTCCCAGCCAATAATCTTCAATCATACGTCGGTTGAAACGCCTGTCGCGGCTGGGGCCTCATAGTCATGACGCTTCGTGTTTCCATCCACATTCATGACCGAATTCTGCAGGTTTAGTTTCCGGGCAGTAACTGTTTCCAGAAGCGATATGTATAATTGCTTATAACATACCCAAGCTTAGGAAGTAATGTACAAAATGCACTGTGATGCCTATTTACGAGCATTTTCCCTAAGAAATGGACTTGACAAACTCCTACACTGTATTTTCAGTGCTAGGGAGTCCACTGGTCAAACAACATTCGCACAGGAACATGCATCGCGCCTTCCAATTGCTAATTCGTCAAAACCTCCACCTTCCATTTGCCTGGCACATCGAGTCGCGCTTCCTTCTTGTACCTCCAGTTCTGCAAGCATGGCCGCGCGTTGGCAAACGATTATGAATCACAGAACCGCAGAAGAGCCACCTCAGGCACGCTTGCAACGTCAATTGTGCTCTAATCCACCTCGGCGCATCGCGTGACCTACCCCGCCTCCTCATACAGAATCGCCTCCTAGAATCAGCCCGTCGACGTGAAGCCCTGACTTCGTTGCAATATATTCTTCCGTCTTGCTCTTCGAAGTAGATGTGCTGCGTTTCCCGTAAATACGCCTCTCTGTTCTCGCCTTTCCGCCCGACAATCACGTCAAACACACAGTACAATTGCGCAGTTTGCACACCCACGGCTGCTGCCGCGCTCCTTCACTCATCAGGATACTCTACTTTAATTAGCTCTTACTCCTCGCTCCTTCACTCTCCACTCTTACTCCTTATTCCTAACTCCTCACGCACTCAATTTCCACAGCTGCTGTCGCGAACACTCTCGTTCACCTGCTACCCCTTAATCAAGTCTCGTACAGTCGACGCGTCTCGTTGTTGCAATTCATTGAGGAGACGACGACAGCAAACTCAACCAGAACAACACGACGACCAACATATCATCATGTCGCCTCTGCTGCTCAGTCCACGGTCCCTGCATCTCCAGTACCCGTCAGCGTGCCTGCGGAGTATCACCATACGCGCCTCACACGGTGCTCTCATAACATGCGGCCCCGGGCCCAAGCAGTCCCCGAAAAGCAGCCCTAAATCGCGCTCCCCTAAAAGCCCCTCCGCAGTCCGCAACGGACGGGCGTTTCAAGCTCCGACGTTCCTTCTCTCCTCGTCCTCCTCCCTTCTTCATGCCTACCCCTCCTCTCCTCGCAACCTCGACACCAAACCGCTTCTTTCTGGCGCCGCCACCGCCGTCGTGATTGGCGGCAACAGCGGATACGGCGGCACAGGCGGCACGGGGAAACCCGCTCTGGGCTTCAAGGTTAGCGAATTCACCGGCTCGCATCTTGCGGAGAGTCTTCCCCGCGTTCTCCGCGGATCCGCCGCCGTGGCCGCTTCCTCCCCTGCGCGCAACGACGTCGTTGCGGCTGTGGGCGGAAGCCATGGACGAGGATCGCAGCGGTGCGCGGAGCGGCGGCGCAGCGGCGCTTCCGCCGGTGCGAGTTTAGGCGCGCGCGGTGGAGTGCGCAAGGCTGCGCGAAGGGGGAGCAGGATCTGCGCAACGCAGGCGGAAGAGGCGCAGGGGAAGGGGGCGGGAAGGGGGTTCAATGCGCGCGTGCTGGTGGACGCGGGTGCGCTCGACGAGACGAGATTCCGCGCATTGCGCAAGAGGCGGATCGTATTCGGGCACGATGACTGGAAGGTGAGGTGCCGCCGCGCTAGCAGCGCTGCTGGTCAGAAGTGGCACCCACGGCGCATGAACCTCCCTCACTGGCGCCCGCCCGCCCCCGAGTAGCGCGCGACCTCGTTCCGCCACAAGCGCCACTTCCGCCGCAACACTCTCCGCTCGCACCCTATCCACCTCCCCGTCTCACCTTTGTCCCTATCGCTCCCCCTCTCAATCCTCGACATTCCATCCCCTTTTCCCCTCCCGCTTTCGTCCCCCCTCTCCCCGAATCCCTTTCCTTCTCCCTCCAGAGGCACGCGTCATCCTTCCGCCACAACCGCCACTTCCGCAACATCCTCCGCTCCAACGTCGTCGGTGCCGTCGTGCCGCCAGCGCTCACCGTCGCCGCCGTCGCCGCCGCCGTTACCGCGTGGAACACGCTGCTCGCGGGAACCCCGGCGGAACTAGCGCCGCTGGGAACGGTGGCGGCGACGGTGGCGGCGGGGGCGGCGGCGGCTGGGGCGGGAGGCGCGGAGGGCGCGGCGGGGGCGGGGGAGCTCCTCCCGCTGCTGCACATGAACCTGCTGCCGTTCAGCCTTACGGTTCCCGCGCTGTCGTTCCTGCTTGTGTTCCGCACTAACTCGTGCTACGGGCGCTTCGACGAGGTACGCGCGTGGATTGGGGAGGGGTGGCGCCGCATGGTGGGGAAGGGGGAAGTGGGCGGCGAAAGAGGGGGGGGGGGGGGTTTGGGGGAGCGGAAAGGTGGTGGGCTTGGTGGTGGTTAACGAGTTTCTTTAGAGAAAGGATCTGATGGGGATGGTGTCGCGTGGTCAGTGGTGCGGGCAAGTGGTTAGCAGCTGAGTCTTACCAACACTTCCTCCCCAGTACTACCCCTTTCTCCTCCTCCCCCCGTTCCTTCACTCCTTCTACCCCTTTTTCCATAGCCCCCATTCTTCAGAGTGAGACACTCCTCCTGCACCACCTATCCTCCTCACCTTCCTCACGCCCTCTCACCACCTGCCAGCTCTCACCTGCACTATTTCTGAGGAGCCTCGTAAATGGACTCCTCGCCCTCTCTAACCTCTCAACTTTCACCTGCATCTTCCAACCACACTCACCCTCCCAACCTTCCCCCCTCTCCTCCCACCTCTCCCCACTTCTTCTTCCCCCTTCCCTCCGCACGTCCTCTCCCCGCTGTGTGACTGCAGGCGCGCAAGAAGTGGCGGCTGATGCTCAACCGCACCAGGGATATCTCCCGCCAGGCCCTCTGCTACATGGGTCGAGACACGCTCCTGCCTCTCCCTCATACTCTCCCCACTTCTTCCTCTCCCTTTTCTTCCCCTTGCCTCTCCCTCTCCTCTCCGTGACTGCAGGCGCGCAAGATGTGGGGGTTGTTGCTCAACCGCACCCGAGACATCTCCCGTCAGGCGCTTTGCTACATGGGCCGCGACACACCCCTGCCTCTCCCTCCTCCCTCCGCCCTCTCTGCTTCTGCCAACGCTGCTGCTGCTGCCGGGAATGGTGCTCCGGGTGGTGCTAGTGGTACTGTCAAGGTCAGGGGGTTGGTTACCGTTAATGGTGGGGCTACAGCTAATGGCAGTGTTGCCACTAATGGCAGTGTTGCCACTAATGGTAGTGTTGCCACTAATGGCAGTGTTGCCACTAATGGTAGTGTTGCCACTAATGGCAGTGTTGCTGTTCATGGCAGTGCTGCAGCTAATGGCACTCGTACCAAAAATGGCAATGGCAGTAATGTTCGGTCAATTGTGGCAGCAGCTGGTCGGGCCAATGGCAAACCAGTGGGGCTAGTAAATGGGCAGGTAAACGGACGGGTAAACGGGCAGGTGAACGGGCATATTAACGGGCATATCAACGGGCAGGTGAACGGGCATATCAACGGGCAGGTGAATGGGCATATCAACGGGCAGGTGAACGGGCATGTGAACAGGCAGGTGAGCGGGCAGGTGAACGGGAAGGTGAATGGGAAGGTGAATGGGAAGGTGAACGGACAGGTGAACGGGCATATTAATGGAATGGTGAACGCAGCAAGGCATGGGCTTACTGTGGGAGGGACGAAGGCGAAAGCACAGGAGACAGGGACAGCAGCAGCAGCAGCAGCAGCAGGGGCGGCAGCAGGGTCGGCAGCAGGGGGTACAACAGGGTTGGCGGCACGGGCGCGCGATGAGAGGAGAAGGGAGCGGTTCCTGCGGCACGTGCAAGCATTCCCTCTGGTGTGCAAGCACCACTTCGTGGCTGAAGGCAGCCTTGAGACGGACCTGCTGGTGAGTGTGGTATATTGAGGGCTCATGGGTTGGGGGGAGGAGGTCGATGGGGAGGTGACTTTCGAGTCGATTCGAAAGTCAGGCATTCCCTCTGGTGTGTAAGCACCACTTTGTGGCCGAAGGCAGCCTTGAGACGGACCTGCTGGTGAGCATGGCATGTGGGCTCGTGGGGGAGGTGCATTGAGAGAGGTGGATGCGGAGGTTGGTGGGGAGAGGGGTGATGGGGAGAGAGGGTGATGGGTTGAGGGGTGATGGGGAGAGGGGTGATGGAAAGAGGGGGCGATATGCGGGGTAAAGGAGGAGAGACGGGTGAGGGTGGATGGGATACGTTGGGCATGCAGAGGGTGTGGGGAAGTAGTGAACGCAGTGTAAGCAAGCATGCATATGCACGAGTTTTATCTCAGTGGAAGCAACCATGCAGCCACAGCTTACCCTTTTCCCCTCCCTCCCTCTTTCCCTTTCTCTCCCCGTCCCTACCTCCCTCCCTCTCCTCCTCCTCTGCCCCCACCCCACGCCATCGCCACTCCGTCGGTGCATGGGTGCAGGAGCACACGACGCTGAGGGCAAGGGAGGTGGAGGGGGTGCTGGGAGCGGTGCATCGCCCCAACTACGTGCTGCAAGTGCTGGGCGAGTGCATGCGCTCCTGCGCCTCCCTGCACCCCATGCACCGCCTTGCCATGGTGAGCACCACACCCCACGATAAACCCCGCGCGTGAGGAGTCTAATTTTAAAGCGCCTAGTAAGAAAATAGTGCACTCTATCCCCATCACCCTCGCCCTCTACCTCTCACCCTCGCCCTCCACCTCTCACCCTCGACCCTCCACCCCTCATCCCTTCCTGCCCCACAGGAGACCAACCTGGCCACGTTTGCGGACGACGTGGGGGGCTGTGAGCGCATATTCAAGACGCCCATCCCCATCTCCTACACCACCGCCCCTTTTTCTCCTGCACCTGCGTCAATAGCACCTCAAAGCTGACTCTCTCCGCCATTACAACCCCTCAGTGCGTCCTTCCCCTTCCCTTCCCCATTCTCCCTTTCCCCTTCCGCGTTCCCCCTCAATCCCCACCCCTCGCCCCCCTCGCCCCTCCAGGAGGCCAACCTGGCCACGTTCGCGGACGACGTGGGGGGCTGTGAGCGCATATTCAAGACGCCCATCCCCATCTCCTACACCACCATGACCTCGCGCTTCCTCTTCCTCTTCCACCTCCTCCTCCCTCTCGGCCTCTGGGACTCGTGCGGCCTGCTCACGCTGCCCGTGGCGCTGCTGTCCGCGCTCGTGTTCTTCTCCGTGGATGAAGTTGGGATTCTGATCGAGAATCCGTTTCTCATTCTCGCGCTCGACGCTATTGCCAAGTCCGCTCGTGATAACGTGGAGGTGGGTTTCCGTTCTTGTTCTGAAGATGTGTGTGTGTGTGGTGAGGAGGGGGGGAGAACGATGAGGGAAGAAGGGAGGGAGAGGGATGGGGAAAGAGATGGGAGAGGGGGGGGGACGTGTCTGGCATTCCCAGTGCTCACACTACCCGTGGCGCTGCTCTCTGCCCTTGTTTTCTTCTCCGTGGACGAAGTTGGGATTCTCATAGAGAATCTCTTTCTCATTCTCGCGCTTGACGCTATTGCCAAGTCCGCTCGTGATAATGTGCAGGTGGGTTAGGCTCTGGGTGTAGGGGTCTCTGTTATTTGTTGCAAAGATTTGTGTGAGGGGAGAGGGGGGTGGAGAGGAGGGGAAGAACGGAAGGAGAGGGAGGGGGGTAAAGGGGGCAGGACATGCATGGGTGTGTGCTGGTTTGTTTGTTATGCACCTCAGGCCACTGGTGGCATTCCTGATTCTTATTTCAGCTGATTCTGCGTTTCAGGATGCTTTTTCTCCCCCTACCCTATCCACATCCCCTCACTCTCCACCCCTGTCCCCCTCACTTCCTGCAATGCTGGAACTTCCCACCCTCATCCCACCCTCATCCCACCCTCATCCCACTCTCGTCCCACCCTCGTCCCACCCTCGTCCCACCCTCCCCTCCCACAATTCCTATCCCCAACCTCTCACAAACTCACCATGCATTCTTCTCGTTCTCCTGTACCCTCCAACCCCTCATGCCTTTCTCTAGGAACAGGAGTCCTTCATGGTAAATAGTAAACACACATCACATCCTCGCACTGTCAAAGTTTCCCCACATCAATCCTCAGCAGCCACTCAGCAGGAGCCCTTTATAGTTAACCCCTAGCAACACTCTCACAACTCCACGTCCCTTCCCGCTTTTTTTTGCGGCACAAGAGACACATCCCACTGCCTGCCCACGCCCATCTCCCCCTCCCTTCCCGTTTCCTCCCCTTGGCAGGAGATGAAGGCGTCTCAGGCGTGCACCACAGCACTCGTGGAGGGCAATGACGAGGCCATGAGGGGAGGAGAGTACCAGCCGGGGGTGCACCAGGCAGTGCCTGTGAGCGGCTTTGAGACGCCTCATAAACATTCCACCCCCACTGACGCCCATTTCCCCTTTCCTCCCCCATTGGCAGGAGATTAAGGAGTCACAGGCACGCGTCGCAGCACTTGTGGTGGGCAACAAGGAGGCCACGCGGAGGGAGTATCAGCTGGGTATGCCCCAGACCGTGCCTGTGAGCGACTTTTGAGACGTTCCATAACACAACACCCCCCTCCCCCCCCTCCTCCCCTCACGCCCACTTACCCTTTCTCTCCCTCTGCAGGAGATGAAGGAGTCTCAGGCGCGCATTGCAGCACTCGTGGTGGGCAACGATGAGGAGATGCGGAGGGAGTACCAGCTGGGGGTGCCACATGCTGTGCCTCTGGCCGACTTGCTACACAGGCCCACACACAGCATGCAGCAGCACCAACAGCAGCAGAAGCAGGAGGAGGAGAGGATGGAGAAGAGTAGGCTGATGGGAAAGCGGACAAGAGGAGTGGAAAGGGTGTATGCAGGAGGTAAAGGAAAGGCTCTTGTAGGGGGAGTGAAGGGCTTCTATAGTGACTGGAACCAGGAATGATTTGATGCTTTGTTTTTACTCTCTTTGTAAGTAATGTTTTGATGCATTCTTGTGGGGTTTCTGGGTCTGCTTGCACTGTAAATGTTGTGTGCCGAGTTGTGCATGATATGCGTGCCCGATTGAATCCAGTGCTGTAATTTTTGTATGCAATTCTGTAGTTGCACTCACTTCTGGGACATTCTTGAAAAGATAACAGAGATGTAAGATTGCTATGAGCACTCACTCCCTATCAAGGCTCTGGATGAGGTTCTGGGCAGCCTTGCCCATCAGTACCGATACCGTAGGCCAGGTGGGGCATGATAAGTCCACCGTGGCACTTGTTGGGCTGAGAAAAGCCCTTAGGATCTTTTCAAGGCTAAGATCTTTGAAGTAGGAATGTTGCAGTTTGCGGAAGCATAATAACAGAGTTTACTGAACCACCTTGCACTGGTATGTGAAAACAAGATAAGTTGATAATAGCAAAGAGATACAAAGCTTTTATATGATTACAAGGAATATGAAAGGTTTTACATTAACTGTTTTTGCTGTTGCGGTTCGATACAGTGACGACTCGGGTAACTGCTCAATATCAAGTCAGTTATGTGTCCTTGCTGTCGCGCTGTATTTTTCGTCGAGTCAAAGGTCAGCGACCTTTGACCTTCGCGTAACCTCTAGCTGTTGCTTTTGTTGACTCGCGTGTTGCTTCGCTGTAGTCTGCTTCGTTTCGTGTCGATACTTCGATTACTTCAGAAGCGTTAAATTACTTATTTACAACACTCCCCTTCGCTTTTGGAGTGTCGCTGCTGATGACGTGTCCTTGTCCAGTCAGCAGCATGCAGTACTCGAACTTCTGTTTTCCGAGTTTCTTGGTCAAGTAATCGGCTGCCATCTCAGATGTGGGACAGTAGGATAACTCGAGTCTTCCCTTCTCGATTTCGTCTTTTACGAAGAAGTACCGGAGGGCGATGTGCTTCGTTCGATTCGTCAACCCATTTTTGTTCGCTATGCGAATGGCTGATTGGTTGTCGCAGAAGAGGGAGAAGCTGGGTAACTGAGCCAACTTTGCTTCTTCGAGCAATTCGCAAAGATATAGTCCTTCCTTGGTGGCTGAGCAGAGTGCGATGTATTCTGCTTCGACTGAGGAGAGAGCGATTAGCTCTTGCTTGTTCGACTGCCATGAGATAGGGCCGATAGGTTCGAGTCGGTAGATGTAGCCAGTACGAGATCGCTTGTTATCGGAGTCTCCAGCATGATCGGCGTCGACGTAACCGATTAGTTTAGGTGTCGTAGTTCTGGTCTTGTGGTAGGTTAATCCGATCGTTGGGGTGCTGACGAGGTAGTGAAGTGCACGGTCGAGCTCCATCATGTGTTCTGCTTCAGGCTTCTTGAGGTAGGTGGCGAGTTGACTAGCTGAGTAAGATGGATCCGGTCGACAGGTAACGGCTGCGAAGAGTAGACAGCCTAGTTTTTGTTGGTAGTCGCGAATGACGGCGGGTTTGAGTAGGGCGGAGACTTTGCGATTTCCGTCGGTGTAACGGTATGGCGTGGTGATGGCAGTTGGAGTTAGTCCGAATCGTTTAGCAATGGTGTCTGTGTATTTTTCGGCGCTGAGTAGATTGCGTTGTCGCCGTCTTGTATGTTGAGTCCCAGGTACTGTGTCACGGTAGTCGCGACGGTGAGTGTGAGATCCCTCTGCAGCTCCCCTTCAAACCAGGTCGTTATGTCGTCGGTGGAGCCTATGTAGAGGAGGTCGTCTACGTAGACGATGAGCAGGATGTAGTTGGTCCCCTTAGTGAGTCGGTACATCCCTTGGTCATGCGGTAGTTGGCAGAATCCGATGCGGATTAGACGGGCGTGAAGATGTTGGTGCCACAGTCTCGGGGCTTGTTTGATGCCGTACAGCGATTTTTGCAGCTGACAGACTTGGTTGGGGTCTGCATTAGACCCATGTGGGTGTTCGACAAAGATCTCAGCATCGACAGGGGCGTAGAGGAATGCGTTGGCAACGTCGATTTGTCGAAGTTTCTTCCGGTTCATGGCGGCTATCGCGAGGAGAATCCGCAGTGAGGTATGTCGGCTAACTGGTGCGAATGTTTCCGTGAAGTCTCGTCCATGCTCTTGGTCGAAGCCGCGCACGACCCAGCGTGCCTTGAATTTGTCTATCGTTCCGTTGGCTTTTGTTTTCACGCGGAAAACCCATTTTCCCGTGAGAATGGTCTTGTTGCGTGCCACTCCGATAGGCACGACTTTCCAGGTGTTGCGTTCTTGCAGCGCCTTTAATTCTCTGTCCATGGCTTCGCGCCATTTTTCCCTGTGTTCCCCCCCCAGAGCCTACTGAATGTTGGCAGGCTCCTTAGGTGGTGCTGCTCCGTGGACGGCGGTGACGAGTCCTAGTATCTGCAGTCCACTCTGTGTGTAGCGGGGGAGATTTGCGTCCTCGGGATAAGCTGCTTCATCTCCCGCTTCTGGATCCGGTAAGAAATTCTGTCCTATGCGTTCGGAAATGTTGGTGTCGACCGGTTGGGGTGTGACGTAACCGTTGTCGGCGAAGTCGAAGTAGGTTTCGGCGTTGACACTTTCGCGAGGGTTGTCGTCGTCCATGGGGATGTCCACTGAGCAATACGAAAGAGGTCCGGCTGCCTCCGAAGCTCCGTCCACGTTCTGCTCGTCCCAGTCAGCTTCGTGTGCTGTCGAAGCGAAAGCTCGGTTGCCACGGAAGCCGCCCGTGAGGTCTCGATTTGCTGCCAGGTTGTCCAGGTACGTTTGAAGTGTGAGTCGCTCGTAGAAAATGACATCACGTGCTGCTACTGTTTCCTTCGAGTGGACGTTGAAAATCTCCCATGTGTTGTACTGCTTTTCGATGCCCAGGTGTAGCCCCCACTGTGCGCGTTGTGAAAATCTTCCGGCTCTTGCAGTGTGCGGTCGGTACTGTACCATGCACAAAAAAACTCGTAACATTTTTGTGTTGCCCAGTTTTCCTGTCCACAGCAGGTGCGGTGATGCGTTGTTCGGGAGCGATGATGACGAGAGCAAGTTGTGCAGCATGACAGCGTGGTCCATCGCCTCAGGCCACTGGTGGTTGGGCAGTCGCATGCCACGCAACAGTTTGCGCATGGTGTTCTGGAGAGTTCTGTTCATCCGTTCTGCCATGCCTTGCTGTTGATGGGCGTAGGGAAGCGAGATGAGTCGCTTGATGCCTCGTTATGCGAGGTACTGCTTGAACCTTTGTGATTGATATTCTCCTCCCCCGTCTGATTGGAAACTTTTCAGCTTTGCTCCCGATTCTCGTTCTGCCACAGGTAGCCAGGCGACGAAGGCTTCGAAGGCCATGTCGCGACTTGGAAGGTTGAGGTGCCAGACGTATCGGGTGGCGGCGTCGATGAAAGTAATCACATAGTTGTATGCTTCCTGACCTTGTTCGCGAGTATACAGGATGTCGCTGTAAACTTTCTCCAGTGGTGCGTAAGCTGGCGCGCTTGGATTGTGGTGAGAGATAAATGGTTGATGAGGTAAGTCGGCTTCGGGGCAGGTAAAACATGTACCGCGTACTCGTTGAAGTTCCCTGCCGTCAGGTAGAAGTAAGGAGTCTTTGTCGAGTACTGCTGCCTTGATCGTGTTGTTCAACGTGGTGTTGCTTGGATGACCCAGTCTTTCGTGCCACAGTGATTCGCTCGCACGATGTCCTGGTGAGCGCCTGTACAGGTCGGAGTTGGAATAAAGTCCCACGGTGAGGTTGGCGCTTCTGTGAACTTCGCGTGGAGTGGGAGTTAACTGCTGCGTAGGAGTTGGTGGAGTGTCGTCGATAAGAACTGGTGTCGTTGAAGAGCCCGCGATTGGTGCCGTAGGTGTTGCTGCTGCTGCCGATGTTCTCCCTGTTGCTGTTGATGTTGTCCCTGCTGCTGTTGATGTTGTTTCTTCTTGCCACATTGTTGCTAATGCCCTTGGTCTTTCTGCTTCAGGTATGGTATGTGAGTACCAAAATCCTCCAGGTCTGAAGTCGGGGTCGAGATCTCGTGGAAGTGAAGTTGACGATTGCGTCGCTGTCGGCGGTAGCTTGGTCCAGAACGAAGTCAAGAATGAAGACGTTATTCTTCAAGACCGCCTTGCCAATGTAGAGTTCGCCCTTTCCTTGGTACAACTTGAACTCCTGAGTGGTGCTATCTGCTTCAAGATGAATGCCCTTCGGCATCAATTGACTGACGCTGAGTAAGTTGTAGCCGAGTCCTTCTGCAATTAAAACTTTCGACATTTGTAGAATAACATTCGTTTCTCGGGATTGAAGTTGAACGATCCCTTGTCGTCGTGTGTGCAGGTTCTGGTTGTTGGCGATGGTGATTATAACTTCACGCTGAAGTTGGTGTTCCTGTTGAACGAAGCGACCCGAGGAGCACATGTGTTGTCCGCAGCAGCTGTCCAAGAACCAGGTGTCTTTCCCGGACGGCTTGCTCTGGGCGATGGCTGCATACGTCGGGTTGGGCTCCAGTGATTCGCGGCGAGGAGTGCTTTCGTCGAGCTGTTCTTCTGGTGAGTAGTATGGTGGTGAGCCGGTGATGCAGGAGTCTGACGTTCTTGTCATGCAGCTCACGATGTTTCTTGTTCCTTGTGCAGGTTTTGTCGTTGAATACGTTGAAGACAAAACTTGATTGGTGGGATGCGCCTGTGTAGAAGCCACTTGACTGCTTGAGGGCCGAAGTTGACGCTGCGACGACGTCGACTACTGCTGATTCGGGCACTGTGTATGAGGATGTCCTGACATCTTGCAGAGGTGACAGAACGGTGGTACGTACTGTTGAACTTGACGGTTGTTTTGTCAATTGTTGTTGTTGTTGTAGCGTTGTTGAGTATGAAACGCAAATTCTGGTGCTGGCGCTCTCTTCTTGTGTCGTTCTTCGTGTAGGTCCATATCCTGCTGTTCAGCGTGAATTTCGGTGCAGAGTGCTGCTTCGGAGATCTTCCCGTGAGCTCGGAGGAGTGCTCGAGTGGAGCGCCAATGAGGACCAAGGCCAGCGATGATAACTGTT